TTTGTAGAGTCACAGGGCATCACCAGAAAGTATGAGATACGTATCATTGAGTCCTGAGTAGGAGTTGGGTATGTAGAAGGACATTTCTGAGAGCTGTTTAGCTTAGCTGAGCAGGCTGAAAAGACTATTATCTGAAGACAGGATGTTGGAGGAAAAGGGAAGGGACTCTTCCTATCCTACTCAAATATCTATTTTGTCTTCTAGGTGCCTTTCTATAGGAAAGTTCTTAGGATCTCTGACTTGTGTCCATCTCCTAGGATTCCTTCCAGGTGATACTGCCAGGCACCACCGAGCTGTTATCCTGGACCTGCTGCAGGAGGCACTGACAGAGGCTGGATTAACCTCTGAGGATTTTGACTGCATCGCATACACCAAAGGTACAGCTGGAAGAGTGGGCAACAGTGGAGGAATACACCTGGAACCCAGCTAGGTCAAAAGAGCCTGCAGCTCACCTCTGATGCCACCACTACCTCCGCTGTACCTTCACATCCCCCGCTTCCCTCAGCTCTGCTTTTCCCAATCTCTGTAGGATTCTAAGCCCCATTCTGTCCCCATAGGTCCTGGCATGGGTGCCCCACTGGTTTCTGTGGCTGTTGTGGCCCGTACTGTGGCCCAGTTGTGGAATAAGCCATTGCTGGGTGTTAACCACTGTATAGGTCACATTGAGATGGGCCGCCTCATCACTGGAGCCACCAACCCAACTGTGCTGTATGTCAGTGGAGGAAATACACAGGTATTTAGAATTCTTCACCATTCTTTCTGTTTTATCCTCCTCAGAGATTTTTGGGTATTTTTAATGACTGAAACAAAACAGATCTAAAACCACAGCTTCTGGAAGAACCATTTATTCTTGCTGGTTTTGTATCTTTCCTCAAACTAGACCTTGACCTCTTGTTGGGCCACACATTTAAGAGCAGGGTCTCCGAAGACATTCTTGTTGGCAGCAGTTTTTTCTAAGGGGATACCTACAGAGTACCTTGTGGGCTTGAAGTGATATACTTCAAGTTATAAACTTTCGCAAAAGACTGACCTCCTGGCGATTTTCTTCTTGCCTGTGGTAGCTTCACTTTGTACCTTGCTGCTAGCAAGGTACTAAGATCATAGGTGTTCTTCATGATGACTGGCCAGGGGCATCACCACCTTCCCAGGTTTCATGAACTTGCCCATTTTGACAGAAGCCATTCAGGACTACAGCAGAAAAGCTCCACCATTCCTTCTTAATTTCTGAGGCACTGCACTAGCAGCTTTCACTTTCTGCCTGAGTGGTAGGAAAACTGGGCTCATCAGAAGCTAAAATGTGATAGACGAGAACACTGGATGACCTCTATATGTGGCTATAGAGATGAGGAATTTCCAACTTAGAGAAGGAAAGAATAGTAAGGATTGAAGTATTCAGAATAAGGACTTTTATTTTCATTATTTTGAAGCTTATTTTTCCTATGAATGTTAGCAATTAAAACTAAGGGACACTTGGCAGTCCAGTGGTTAAGACTCTGCTTTCAATGCCAGAGGCACGGGTTCTATCCCTTGTTGGGGGACTAAGATCTCACATGTCTCAAGGTACAGCCAGAAAAATGTTTTTTAAAAAAGAAAAAACTAAGGGGTACTATCTCATTTGTTTCTTTACAACATTTTTTTTTGTTTTAGTTACTGGTGGTAAATATATAGGTTTTTTTTTTTTTTTTTTTTAAAGAGTGAAAACTTAAGTAATTTAAAAAACATTTTATGAATGGTGGAAGATGTTTTAAATTTATAGATGAAGCCAGAGTTGTTCGGGATACCTTACAAGATCTTTTTAAGTGGAGATTGGAGACCTCTAGCCTTCCTTTTCCACCTAACACCTGATTGGATTATTGTCCAGACTGATTCCTCTCTCCAGTTTATGAAAGGATTATATTCTAAAAGTTCATTTTGTGAAATAGTTATTAAAGATGAAGCACACATTCCTATGAAAATAACGTGGGAACTTTAATGGGTAGAGAACCAGTAATTGGTTGAGGCCTGAAGGATATTTATTATACAAGGTTAGGAACTTGGGGTGTGGAAAGTACCAGTGGAAGCTTACAAGATTTACTTGAAATGAGCAGTGATGGAATTTTCTCTTTTTCTCTTTTCCTTTGAAGCCTGCTTAGGTGTGAAAAATAAGATGATTGACTAGGGAAGAGTGGATGACCGAAGTAGAAAGGCAAAATTTTTCTTTATGTTTTTGTCTCTAGCCTTTTATCAGTAGAGTAAGGGCTACATCAGGATGGAAGAAAATCCCTAGCAGCACCAGAAAGGGAAAGGGACTTAACGATCCTTTGGAAGTACTGTCAGAAGTCTGGAGCTTATGCGTCAACGGGTGATAAATACTCTCTGTGCTAGAAGTTGGTCACATATGAAGAGTGGACAGAAGTTGGTTGCCAGTGCTAAGCTGGATGAGTAATTAGTCTGACCCAATATGGGATTTTTGGGTTTTGTTTTTGTTGTTGCTGCACCGAGTGGCTTGTGGGATCATAGTTCCCCTGCCAGGGACTGAATGCATCTGCAACCAGGAACAGGGAATTCCCTGGGATTTTTTAGGTTTTTTTTTTAACTCTACCTTAGTGGTTTCCACATACTACCACCCTCGTAGGATAATCTTGAAGAATTCTGGTTCCCTGCCTCCAAGAAGGAAAGCTTTCCTTAGCCCACACTGTCTTGATTGCTTTTAGAGGGGTATCAGCAACCTCCAAGCTAGAAAAATGTATCTTTAGACTAGGAATCTACTCTGGGAATCCTTAGGGTGTATATAGACTTCTCAGATAAGCATTGTTTAAAAGTACCTGTTGAGGGTTTGGGAAAGGACTTTATTTCCATTGCTTATTGACGTTCTAGTGACCATGTTGATCTTCTGCTATGTTCTTCCCCAAGCCAAATGCTCCTCTTTACAGACTTGAGGTTTCATGGACATCCTCATCACCCTTAGGTGATTGCGTATTCAGAACATCGTTACCGCATCTTTGGGGAAACCATCGATATTGCTGTGGGTAATTGTCTGGATCGTTTTGCTCGAGTGCTGAAGGTAAGCCATTGAGGCTACAGAGAATATAAGTTGTGAATGAATTTTGGGAGAGCCATGGAAAAGGAAAGGGAAGATAAATTAGCTTCTTTTGCTTCATAGATGCTTGACTTCATCCTGTTTTTCCTTCTGCTAGATTTCCAATGACCCAAGTCCAGGCTACAACATTGAGCAAATGGCAAAGCGGTAAGGGGAATAAGGCGGAAGGAGGCTGACTGGTGGGGTGCCAGGGATTTCCCTGTGTATGTATTAATGAGCTTTGGGAGGGCTTTGGAGGGTGAGCAGCCAGCAGACTACAGGCTTAGTGCCTCATATACTCACTCCCACATAGAGGCAAGAAGCTAGTTGAGCTGCCATACACTGTAAAGGGGATGGACGTCTCATTCTCTGGGATCTTGTCTTTTATTGAGGTGAGTGTGGGGGAGGTGAGATGGGCACTTTCATGCTTTTTAGTGAAGTGTGCAAGTTTTGCTTAGTGTAGTATTTTCTGCATATAGCATAGTACTGGCCTATGTTAGATACTGAATAAATTCATCTAGCAAATACTTACTTGAACATCTTTTGTGTACCAAGTGCTGTTCAAGGCAATAGTGATACAAGATGGAGCAAAACAAAAATCTGCCTACTTGGAGCTTGCATTTCATGGGGCATGGGAGGAGGAAGGGAAACAGAAAAAGAAACAGACAAAGAAATGGGAAAAAAAATAAAAAGGGTCAGACAGGGACAAGTCTGAAGAAAAATTAACCAGGGTAGGGGACAGAAGGTGAGAGAGCAAGCATTCATGATTATTGAATCTTGAAAGAAGGCTGCTGGTTTTATATATATATATATATATATATATAGAGAGAGAGAGAGAGCTCAGTGCCAGTGAAGAGCAATATATACTAGTAAGGGTGAATTGTGCTAAAACGCAGTGATCCTCCAAGTGTGCTAGTTTTTTGCTCACATGTCATCCCCAGATGACAGTTCACTGTTTCATGTGTTTGCCCCTGTAACTACAGGATGTAGCCCAGCGGATGCTGGCCACTGGAGAGTGTACTCCCGAGGATCTGTGTTTCTCCCTGCAGGTAATGAAGTGAAGAACTGGGATAGAAAGGTGGAGCTGGGGGAGCTTTTATATAGTAGAACTAAACTGGGATCGCCTCTGATGTTTTCAACTTGTCTGCCGCCCACAGGAAACTGTGTTTGCAATGCTGGTCGAGATCACAGAGCGGGCCATGGCACATTGTGGCTCCGAGGAGGCCCTCATTGTGGGAGGTGTAGGGTGTATGTATCATTGAACTGTGCTTCTCTTTCGTATTTTGGGGCATGTGCATCTTGCTCCTGATACTCTAAATCTCTAAGGGTTTGGGGAGATTACTTATTTTGTTTCTGTCCTGTGCTTCCCATTCCTTGCACCTACTTCATTTTCCGAAGTCAGTGTACATGAGGTGTATAGCTAGACTGGAGAAATGACTAAAGATGAGCTAATCGTACCCCTGCCTCTGTAGGTAATGTGAGGTTACAGGAAATGATGGAGACCATGTGCCAGGAACGTGGAGCCCGGCTTTTTGCCACAGATGAAAGGTAAAGGCCCGCCCACCCACACACACTTTTTTTCCCCCAGTTGCTGTGATTTTCTGTCCTTAGATCATGAATTTCGTACCTCTTTTTTTTCCCAGGTTCTGCATTGACAATGGAGCCATGATAGCCCAGGCCGGGTGGGAGATGTTTCAGGCTGGACACAGGACCCCTCTCAGTGAATCTGGGATCACACAGAGGTAAGTGGCCGCTGGGAGGGGGCAGACAGCATTATATGGGAGGTAGGCAAAAATCATCAGCAGGAAGAGGACCCAGAATGGTGAGGGCAGAGAAGAATGGAATAAGGGATGACTGTTCTCCAAGTTTTTCCTTTTTTTTAAAACAGGTATCGGACAGATGAAGTAGAAGTGACCTGGAGGGACTAACAGATGATCGCCTCTGATGTTTTCAACTTGTCTGCCGCCCACAGGAAACTGTGTTTGCAATGCTGGTCGAGATCACAGAGCGGGCCATGGCACATTGTGGCTCCGAGGAGGCCCTCATTGTGGGAGGTGTAGGGTGTATGTATCATTGAACTGTGCTTCTCTTTCGTATTTTGGGGCATGTGCATCTTGCTCCTGATACTCTAAATCTCTAAGGGTTTGGGGAGATTACTTATTTTGTTTCTGTCCTGTGCTTCCCATTCCTTGCACCTACTTCATTTTCCGAAGTCAGTGTACATGAGGTGTATAGCTAGACTGGAGAAATGACTAAAGATGAGCTAATCGTACCCCTGCCTCTGTAGGTAATGTGAGGTTACAGGAAATGATGGAGACCATGTGCCAGGAACGTGGAGCCCGGCTTTTTGCCACAGATGAAAGGTAAAGGCCCGCCCACCCACACACACTTTTTTTCCCCCAGTTGCTGTGATTTTCTGTCCTTAGATCATGAATTTCGTACCTCTTTTTTTTCCCAGGTTCTGCATTGACAATGGAGCCATGATAGCCCAGGCCGGGTGGGAGATGTTTCAGGCTGGACACAGGACCCCTCTCAGTGAATCTGGGATCACACAGAGGTAAGTGGCCGCTGGGAGGAGGCAGACAGCATTATATGGGAGGTAGGCAAAAATCATCAGCAGGAAGAGGACCCAGAATGGTGAGGGCAGAGAAGAATGGAATAAGGGATGACTGTTCTCCAAGTTTTTCCTTTTTTTTAAAACAGGTATCGGACAGATGAAGTAGAAGTGACCTGGAGGGACTAACAGAGTTAACAGGATTGGAGTATTTCATGCCCTGAGTGGAGCCCAAGGGACCCGAGGCCTTAACCTCTAAGCTGACGAGGCTGTGGGCTCCCTTGTCTCATCGTTTGAACCTCAAGAATTGACTCAGCATTAAAATATTTTTGGTTTTATATGGCAATTGACTTGTGTTCAGGAAGAAAACATATTTGGCAATGGTTAAATCCTTTTGATGGGTCCATAAATAAGGAGGGCAGGGGTCAGAGCAGCACCCTGGCGGACTGCAGGTAGCCTTGGGAGCTGCTGCTCTGGAGCTAAAATTGAGGAGAATCTCTGAGATATTCTACCCTTCCCTTAAGAATGCTATTATCATTGGTTCTGTTTTAGCATCAGGTCTTGTGTTAATTGCTTTACATTGATCACCTTGTTTAAATTTTTTGAAGTGTAGGTACTCAGGATTTCCCTGAAAACAGCCTGAAGCCAGATATAATTTCATACTAATTGATAACTCAGAAGTAAAACTGTCCCTCCTCCATACACTTAAGCCTACAGACATTTTCATTGGCAGACCAGAGGGAAGCCCTGGGTACATGTCCTTCTGCCACAACCACCAAAATTAACCTCATCATGCACTTTTATTTATACCAGTCACGATAAGAAGTGGTGACTATCAGGTCACCTCTCATCTTTTAAACTCTAATACCATTACTCTCCACTCCCTTTTTAGCCCCTGTCTACCCGCTTCTTTTAACTCTTGAAATTCTTTTTGTGATCTCTGACATTAACAGCCAGTCATTAGGAAGAATCCCAGGTATCCTCAACATGCTCTCTGAATGTTCCCTTTACATGGCTGTGCTCGGAGCCCTGGTTTCTCCGGAGGACTCTGCTTCTCCTACCACCTGTAGTGGTGGTGGTTTCTCTCATACCCATTGTAGCACTGGGCTGGCCTGGAGGCAGTGTGGGAGTCCTCATTTTTCTCATACTATTTTTAGACTACTCTCATCTCTTAACATACCTCCGCTTTAAAACAATATCTGTCACAAATCTTGGTGCTTTAAATATCCATATAGATAATCTTTCTAACATTCTGGTCTCAGTTCTTTGCACCTCCACTGATCCTGTCCTCTAGTCCACTTCAGGCTGTGGTCATATTCCAGCCCTGCTGCTACTCCATATCTCAAATCTCAAACATCCCACTCTCCCACTATTACTTCCTATTTTTTTAATTGACTCCACGTGTCTTCACTTCCCTCCTCCAACTAAGTGCCAGTCATGAGCACCTCATTGCAAGTAACTAATCTCTTTTGCTTCTCTTGGCTTTTGTCACACTCAACTCTTCACTGACTTTATGCCTACACCCATGCAGCTGAAAGGGCTAGGGAAAAACAGCCAAGCTGACTTTAAATTAATTACCATGAAACTTCAGTGGGTCCTTTATGCTGGAAGTAGTATTTGCTAGTCTTTTCACTTGCCCTCCTTTTTTTGGGGTGGGGGGAGCTCTGCATTGCTTGCATCATCAAAGTTGGGAGTTCATCACTTACCTGTTTTCTGATCCCTGTTTTGTTCCTTCTGATCCCTCAGATCTTCAACATCCCCTTCATTCTCACTTTTTGGTAGAAAATAGAGACAGTGAAAATGTTCACAGGCTCCTACCACTACACTTATCATAACTTCCAGCATTTATGCCCATATGCTCTGCTGTCTCTCCTGTTACTGTATCTTTTTTTTCCCTCTTATTTTTTTTTGTTTTTGTTTATATTTTTCTCTGCTGTTACTGCATACCAGTGGTTCTCAACTGGGACTGAGTTTGCTCCCAGAGGGCATTCGGTTGTCACAACTGAGAGGTGGTGCTACTGGGTAGAGGCCAAGGATGCTGCAATATAGCTTACGGTACACAGAACAGCTCCCCACAACAGAATTATCGGGTTAAATGTCGTTAGTATCAAGGTTGAAAAGTGTTGCTCTAAACAAACTGCCCAGGCTCCCCTCCAAATCCTTGGACAGCTGGTCCCATGCTCTTTCAAGGACGTCGCTCATCTCCTTTCCTGCAGGGTCAGCATTTTCCTTTCTCTCGTGGAGCATCCTATCAGCATGCAAATACGCTGTCATTAACAGAGACCCAAGTCTCTCTTGACCCCATTTCCCCTTCCAATTGCTTCCAATTTTCCTGTTCAATTATTTAAAAACAGTTATTTTTTAAATTCAAGTATAGTTGATTTACAGTATTATGTTTCAGAGGTATAACATAGTGATTCAGTATTTTTATAGATTATACTCCACTTAAAGTTATTGTAAAAGACTATATTCCCTGTGGTGTACTAATATATCTTTATGATTTATTCATTCTGCTCTTATTTTAGAGCAGAACATTTTAAAAGAGCCATCTGCCCATCCTCTCTACCAGTTTCCTATTAAGTTGACTGCACCCAACTGTTACCATGATCACAAGGACGTGCGTGAACCAAGATCTAATGGCATCTTCTGCTTCATCTTACATAGGCTGGCAGCAGGATTTGGCACACCCTCTTAGAAACATTGTCTCTACTTAGCTTTAGGACATAATCTCTGGTTTGCCTCAGTTGCGTTTGCTGGTTTCTCCTAATCTCCATAGTTCTTGAGAGTTCAGTCCTTGGACTATTTCCTATTTACATACATACTTTTGAGTGATGTCATCCAGTCTTACACATTAAAGCCATTTTATTGTGGTGGGCTCCCCGTTTTTTAGCTCCAATCTGGACTTACATCCCAAATATCTAGTTGCCTTCAGCATTTCTACTTGGATGCTTAATAGGCATCTCAAATTTAACATATACCAAATTGAACTTGTCCCAGATTACTGCTGCAGTCTTTGCTATTTCAGTCAATGACAACTCCATCCTTATAGTTGTTCATGTCAAAGTATTGGTATTACCTTTGATACCTCTTTCATCTCCTCCAATTCATCAGATCACATTGACTTTACCTTCACAATATATCCAGAATCCACTGCTGGACTTCACTGCTGCCATCCTAGCCCAAGCCAGAATTACCCATCTCCAAGATGATTGCAGGAGCTGGTCTACGTGTGTACACCATTTCCTTCTTACAGTTAGTTCTCAGCAGCAGTTATTCAGAGTGAATAGTGTTTTCATGTGGAAGCCAGATTATGTCACTCTTCTCAAAATCCTCCGTGTTTTCCTACCTCAGGATAAAATCCAGAGTCCTTTCAAGGCCTGTGAGAACCTCCATGACCGGCCGCACCCTTCCCCCTTGCTGCTGTGGCCTTACTACCTGCTACTTGTCTTGTCATTCACTCTGCTCTGGTCACGTCTGTCTTTTCGTCCTTAAACACGGCAGGTCTGCCACCCCTAAGGTCTTGTTGCCCCCTCTGCCTGGGAGGCTCTTCCCAGAGGTCTTGGCTCAGCTTAGTTTAGTGAGGTCTTCCTGACAACCCTACTTAAAATTGTACTGCTCTTGTGCTTTCTAGCCCACTCTCCTGTTTTATTATATTCTTTGTCCTCTTGTTGGAATATAAACTCCCTGAGAGGAGGAGTATCTTGTTTTATTCATTAACATATCATCTCACAGTACTTAAAACAGGGTCTGGCACATAAGTGGACATTGAATTAGTATTTGCTGGTTGGCTCAGAGGTTAAAGCATCTGCCTGCAATGAGGGAGACCTGGGTTTGATCCCTGGGTCGGGAAGATCCCCTGGAGAAGGAAATGGCAACCCACTCCAGTATTCTTGCCTAGAGAATTCCATGGACAGAAGAGCCTGGCAGGCTACAGTCCATGGGGTCACAAGGAGTCGGACATGACTGAGCAACTTCACTTTCACTTTAGTAGCTCCATGGTGGGCTTCCTAGGTGGTGCTAGTGGTAAAGAACCCGCCTGCCAATGCAGGAGATGTAAGAGACAGGTTCAATCATTGCAGTCCACTCCAGTATTCTTGCCTGGAGAATCTCATGGACAGAGGAGCCTGGCGAGCTACAGTCCATGGGGTTGCAAAGAGTTGGACATGACTGAAGCAACTTAGCATGCACTCACGTGTAGCTCAGTGGTGGAGCATTTGACTACAATTAGCATTTGCTGAATAAATGAATAAATCTGTGGGAAACTAAACCAAAGAAATAAAGGACTATAAAACATGACTTGGGCAAAAAGATTTTAAAGATTGAGATCACATGGGCTTGGGACAGTTTCTGACTACTTATTAAGTAGGAAATGATAAATATTCTTTTGTTTTTTTACAAAGGATAGACATAAATGGGTTAAAATACGTTTAGGGGTAGAGGTCTATAGTGGAAACTTTGCGATGGAAGATAGAAGATAAACTCTTGTCTGTATTTGAGGACAGGAATGATCTGTTTCTCTAGGCTCAGGGAGTTTTGAAGTATGTTTTTACACATTAGCCTCAGGTATTAACTTTTTATTAATATCATGAGGTAGAATGGATTTTGGAGAAGGGCTATCTTTGGCACTGTAGCTGCAGTTAGTGTTGTTCAGTGGAGTGGGGGCGGGGGATTCTCTCCTTAGGAAACTTTAAAGTGAAAGTGAAGTCGCTCAGTCGTGTCCGACTCTTTGTAACCCTATGGACTGTAGCCTACCAGGCTCCTCCATCCATGGGATTTTCCAGGCAAGGATACTGATGTGGGTTGCCATTTCCTTCTCCAGGGGATCTTCCCAACCCAGGGATCAAACCCGGGTCTCTCGCATTGTAGGCAGATGCTTTACCGTCTGAGCCACCAGAAAACTTTGGGCTGTTGTAAAACCCTTGTATGGGCCTCCCCTGGTGGTCCAGTGGTTAAGAATCTACCTGCCTATGCAGGGATATGGGATCAATCCCTGGTCTGGGAAGATCCCACATGCCATGGGGCAACTTAGGCCTATGTTCCACAGCTACTGAAGCTCACATGCTCTAGAGCTCATGATTGATAACAAGAGAAGCCACTGCAACCAGAAGGCTGTGCACTGCAACTAGAGAGTAGCTCCCACTTGCAGCATCTAGAGAAAGCTAGTGTGTAGCAATGAAGACCCAGCACAGCCAAAAATAACAAAACCCTTGTATGTCTAAAGCTTTGGGCTACACAAGAGTAGACCCGAAGTTTGTGGAGCCAGGAGATTAAAATGGCTCCTTGAGTCCTAAATCATGGACGACTCCTAGCTGTCTGGCTTCCGGAGCCTCTTACGAACGGGAAAGT